ATTCAGGCCGTTGATTCAGGGCTTCGTCTGTACATGCTGTCCTCCTTAATTTCCTTCAGCATCGGCCTCCAGTGCTTTGTCGATTTTCGTTGGTTTTTGCGCCGGCAAGTTGTGGAATCATCGGCGGAGATTATCTTCGGCTTCGATGTGTTGACAGAAAAACACATGAACATGGAAGGGTTTGGTGGTGGTCGTCGGCAACGGTGGCTATAAGGAAGGAAAAGCGTCGATACCCTCTAGGATGCTAGGGCTTTATCGGGTGGGAGATTGAGAAAGACATACAATAACACAATAATTACTTTAAACACCTGAACCTATCTCTCTCTCTCTCTCTCTCTCTCTCTCTCTATATATATAGATATATATATATATATATATATTATATATATATATATATATATAGATATATATATATATATTATATATATATATATATATATATATATAGGTGAATGATCAAATAAGAACACCTAAAAGGTTGAGAACGCGAGAACAATTCTGGACCAATCAATATATAAATGCATATTACTAATTGTATTTTAAATTAAATTAAAATAAAATAAAATTCAATAAAATTCCCTTAAATTTAGGATTAGTTACCAAAAACAAGAAATATTCGATTTTTTATTTTTCTTATTAATGTAATATAAAAAACATTTTTACTAAAATTTATTTTAAATTTGAAAAAACAATTAATTTTTTTTCTTAAAAAATTAAAATTTTCTTCTATTTCATGCTTTTTTTTTTCAAAAAATGAATATAAATCCAATCCCAAATAAATACACCTGTATACATAAATGGAAATTTTCTTCGAAAAACCTAATACTACTCAAATTAAAAATGAATACACATCAATTTACAAATAATCCAATGCCTTTTTTTTCATCAAAAAATAAAAATAGTGTAAAAATTATCATTTCTTTAATAAATGAATACCTATAATCATAAATAAATATATACTCATTCACACATGAATACATTGTTATTCATAAATAAATAGTCATTCACATATGAATACACTGATATTCAAAAATAAATACACTGCTATTCATAAATAAATACAAAATAAAAATAGTGTGAAAATTATCATTTCTTCATAAAATGAATACCCCTAATCATAAATAAATACACTCATTGATCACACATAAATACACTGCTATTCATAAATAAATACAGTCATTTACACATAAATACATTGATATTCACAAAGGAATACAATGCTATTCATAAATAAATATAAATTCTATCATAAATGAATACACCAAAATATAATACAGTTTTTCGTTCTCCTCTAGTTCAAATTCTTCACCTTTCATCTTCTCAAACAATTCCAAAGAACCTCCAGAAAAAAACATATTCAAATACCCATATATCATTGAGTTCAATAAATCATGTCTCTCTTATAAATTTCATCAAACAACTTCCGTGTACAACCTTTTTCTGTGAATCTGATTCCAGGTCAGTATGACTATCTTTTTCCTTGATTATAAGGATTGGTATGAGAGGAATTAAAACTAAGAAATAAATCATTGGTTTATAAACAATAAACATGATTCTTCCCCTTTACCTAGAAAAATGATGAACATGGTAACTTAAAACAAAATCAGTGAACATGGGAGAACTTACTAGGGCGTGAGTGATGATCCTCAAAAGAAATTGAATTATAAGTGTGGTTATGATGAGGAGCCCCTCTTGATTTGTGTCCCCGTGTACATATTTTAACGCCAAACACTAGATCATCCTCACCATTGATGGATTTTTTTTATCAATCCATCATCTTCGCCATCACAGACTCGGTAAACCACACCCTTCCGCATTGGCTATTTATGAATTTTACTTTGATGTTAAAATGATTTGATCACTGTAACTGGTTTTGAAACAATTCAATTGTGTGGTTTAAGTGTTTTCAAAAGGAAAATTTTATTCTAAATTTTTTGGATGTTACAATTGGTACATATCTGCTGTTAATAAATTAACACAAAAGAATACGCATTTTTTTCTTATAGATTTTATGCTTTTTAAGTATATTTGGTTGGTTTAGCTTGGGAATTGGTTATTCTTTTGTTTTCTTTTGCTTAGTTTCGTATCAAGTCGTGATTGATATGGAATATACAATGTTTCATCAACATTTTTACTGCCATCTGTTTTTTATGGTATCTTGAACACCAAAACTTGAAGATAAATGGGAAAATTGGTAAATTTTTACCATTTTTAGTTTAAAATAAACCCTTTTTTGTTATTTTTTAGGATTTTGAAATGACTAGGAACTTAATCACATTATGTGTCTTTGATATTTGTTTTTATGATTTGTAAATGTTGTTTACTATGATCTCATCTTATATCGTTGGGAAACTAAGTACAAGAACCATGTTATTCTAGATAAAAAAAAATATTAATTATGTTGCTTTCTATTTGGTTCCTGGTGGGTGATTGTTGAAAAAATACAAGAACCTCTGATAGTGGATGCTACTTTATATCTTGACCATTTTAATTGTATTTGGAATCTGGTTGCTCATTGCATTTGTTGAACTCGAGTTCTTTCCCAAGTTGCTATAGATTTTTTGAATATGTTATAAGGGGTTGTGATGTTTCGACTATTTTGCCCATGTTCGAATTATGCTGGCAATTATGATTCTAATTTGCATTTTTGCCCTAGAAATTAGGTGTTTCGACGTAATGCAATTCATAGGCCTGTAAATCTTGTCACAAGTTTTGTAAATAAATAAAATATTGATGAAATTTAAAGATCTCAATAATCAAACTTACTTAAAAACAATACTTCCGCTAGTTATAATCATAGTATAAAAACCCATCGATTTTTTTTTTCAAAAAGAAAAGATGTGTGACCTATTGCACCCAACGGGTGATAATACTAAAGACGATGTTCATAATACGCACCCTACAAGCCGAAAGGAATGATAATATCGAAGAGTCGATTGATATGGAACCTGAAAAGAATGATGTGCCAAATTTTAGACAATTAACAGTAGCTTCTTTGATTCGTGATCACAGATAGAGAAAGAGTTTTAGTTGTAAGACATTCAATTCACTAACGTGATGATGATATTAGACGATTATATATTAAACTTAGACCATACCAACTTCAAAAATCAAAGTATTGCTCTAGTCTTAGTAGTCCTAACGGTCATTGTGTAATTATCAACAAGCTAGTTTTAAAAACTTTTGATAAATGGAAACTCCCCTTATACTAAAATTTTGGTTCGGTCCATGCTATTAATTAAACTGTAAAATTATGCCAACCACAAGGGCCATATCAACAATTTAGTCTAAAAAAAATAAAAGTATACCGAAAATGATAATTTTATTTTAATGTAAATTTAACTAAAATCCTAGTTCTGTCTCTGCTGGTACTAAATCTGTAAAATTATGTCAACCACAAAGGCCATTTAAACAACTTAGTCCAAAAAAAATATAATGAAAATGATAATTCTATATTAGATTAAATTTAATATAACATGAGAGAGACAAAAACCAAAAAAATAAATATGAATGCATAAGTACAATGGTTTAGCATTTTTGTCTTTAAAATGAAACTTTATGTAAATCATAACGACCGATTTTAAAATTTGTTAATAGTAAATTATTATAAATCTGTTTAAAACTTCAAAAAGTTTAAAAGAAAAAAAAATAAGACTCTAACAGATATTTTGAAATTATATATATATATATATATATATATATATATATATATATATATATATATATATATAGATTTTAGACATTAAATATGATATTGGGACTTTTATTTATGACATATATAAAATTCTTTTTAAAATTTTAGAAAAAATAATAATTTATTTTTTCAAAGATGAAACTACACAAACTATAAAACTATATATAAAGAAATATCATGCAAAATTGTATTTCATGAAACTAAATATGTAAGTTAACTTGCAAGGAAAAAGGTACAATTCACACCAAAATAGATAACATTTTGTTACAAGAATATATAACATGCTACTTAATAACCTTCGTTAATTTATATTTTTGTTCTTTAAGTTTTAGGTCTGTCCTGAAGATTGGGCGATAGGGGCGACCGTCCAAGACCTATCTTTTAAATTGACCAATTTTTTTTTATAGAAATTGTTATATTTAGAAGATAGTACAAATAAATTTTTTTTCAATTATTGAGTTATTATAAAAACTTGATGACATTTGTGTATTTTAAAGGTTTATTTTTTTTATCTCGCCCTGGGCTTAAAATATGTTTGAAACGGCTTTCTTAAGTAGCTCAGTAAAGTAAGAAAACCATGTTTGATAATAAATTTAATCGTTAGAAACCAAACTTAGCCATGTTAATTTTTCCACCCTTTTATTTCAATACATACTTTATATTAAAAGAAAGTAGGAGGGTTGCATTGATCCTTACTTTCAATACAGGGTTGCATTGATCCTTACTTTCAACTATTGAGTGAGTCAGTGGTGAACACTTTTTGTTTGTTGGAATAGCCTAATAATCTATCTAATGTCTTCATATTTACCTAAAACTAAAAGAACTGTGTCTGACCACAATTGTTTACATATGGAAACTTACCATATGTCAAATCTGTTGAACCACCGGTTATAATAGAAACTTACCATATGTAAAAAATTTAGAGACACTACACCAACTTTAGCGGTATAAGAGGAAGTACTGTAAATCCAATATCAACAAAAGAGTTGTTCAAACGGACATTTAGAAAGACATGCATGTTCAAATATTGCAAAATGGAATTAAAAAAAAGTATTGTTGATAAAGAAAATTTCATGAGTGCCCTTGCGTTATTTTTCTGTTCTTGAAGACAAGAGGATCAACACTTGAAGAGGATCCAAACCTACAAAGTCTGACCTTCTTCTTGTCATCTTCTTCGGTGGGTGTTACTTATGTGATCACAAATCTGAAAACAAAGAATATAATGATATGATTATATGTCAAAATAATATCTTCTTTTTAATTTATGGTGAATTATTATTATTTGATGATATGGTCATAACAACCTCTATGTTGCAGCCTTCTTTTTCAGCTCCTTCACTTCCTTTGTGGCACTGGAACCTTCCGAGCCAGGTGCAGTACCAAACCTGAAGTACAAAAAGTCATTTTTATTAAGTAAGAAAAAAAATTGTTAAAAGTACAAAATATCTAAAATAATAAGCTAATTTTACAACTTTTTGACAGGAACTATTAGTGAAACCACATAGACGTACGACAGTCAAAATCATCTACATTTTAATAAATGAAGATATTTGTATGCAAAACTGTAGTTAGAAATAGTTACACAGTTGATCATATTTTTAAACAGACATAAAGAAATCTATCACAACTCTATGTTTTTTTTTTGCTGAAAATAGATGCCTCATATTGATATTCAATACAAATATTGCACATTTTCACTCCCTGCTGGGTCATTAACTCTTTTGGCACTAAAAATTCCAGAAAGATTAATTTAACTGTGTTAGATTTCACCAAGCCAAATTTGAAAAGGAAGTGGGAGGCTACTAAGGTAACATGACCAGAAAGTTCCACCTGGATAGAACAAACCGAGAACATAATAATTGTAACCTAAAAAAAAAGTTAATAGCACATTAAATAAAAGTTAAATTCAAGTCAACAGAAAGTCAATACACATGGGGTGTCACTGGAACAAAGATAAAACTGCAGGCTTGAAGCTTCTCCGCTTGCCATCATAATTGCCTTCTGTCTTAAAAAATTAAAAATTAAAAAATGATAAAAATAAGTTAAAATTTTACAAGAAAAGATGTTTAGAATGACATACATGTTCAAATATACCATTGTCATATGCGTCCATGAAATTTTTTGATGATACCTTATTGTTAATCGTTTGTCACTAGTCCATTCTTCCATGTCTTGTATTACGATCAAATAACTATAGAAAAAAATATGTCATATCCAATCAAGTATACGGTAACATACAACTGAATTGATTAGTATAGTATAGAGAACACAAACTATATACACACCATTTGAATCTTGCAAAGTTGCACCAAGCTGTTAATTGTAGAAGACTACAGACGGAAAAGTCTTGAGTCCTTGGTCTTTAAAGGGACTAAAATCATTGTCACAACTGTAATAGGTGAGTGAATCATTAGGCGTGAACTTCTATTCATGTCAACCACCGAAAGAAAATAAAAAACTAATGTGCCAAGATATCAATCAAAATAGAAACAACAATACTGAAATTATAAGACTAGTAACTTTGTATTTCACTTTCACGTGCTAGACTTAGAGATGGTCATTCAGGCAGTAGAACTTGTTTCATAATTTTCCCCCAACTATGATCAAACCAGAGCACACAACCTAGAAAGTACCCAAGATGAGGAGGCAAAACAGTGAACACTTGGCGTGCAAAAGTGTAAACCAAAACAATAACGACCAAAATCAATAGTCGCAAACACATACCCAAATCAGTAATGAACGGCGACAACATACGAAAATCAGAAGTTGCAAACCCAGAGGAACAACACCCTGGATCATGACATACACGTGTTATGTATACCTACAGGCGTGAAGAAGTAAAGTGGAAGACGCGATGGTGATTCGAATGATTCAACTATATGGTGAACAAACCGATTTCTAGAGTTCAGATCGACTGTTACCTGTTTCTTGAAACCAAATAATTAAAACTCGAAATAGAATGAAATTGGAAGAAACTGAAATAGTGAGAAGGAGTAGTAGAAGTCGACATCATCGTTCGATTGGAATGCAATAATGGGAATAGAGCGGAGGAGTTATGAAGTGAATAAATCCGATAAGCATGAGGAATATATTCATATACGCAGTCAATGGCGGTGGAGAGTCCTATTGGAGGAGAAGGGCGGCAGTCAATGGCGGTGGAGGGTCTTATTAGAGGAGAAAGGCGACAATGAATATATGATAGGGTAAGATCGGCTCCAACCCTGCCAGACAATGCAAAACCGAATCCATCATAAAAAATTGTCGTTGCTATTCATAAGCACCATGACTATTAATAGAGTATATGAATATGAATACCGCATTCTAACATCATTTATTCATCAAGAAATTAAAAAAAATGGTTACAACAAGTGTTATTATTTTGGCCTATATAAGTATTTCAAGTGATGTTAGGCGAATGCTCGCGTGTTGCGCAGAAACACCTATATAGTTGAAGTCTTTACAAATGTATGTTTTTTTAAATATAGAAACAACGTTGTTGTTAAATTTGATATAATAATTTGTATACTAAATTGATATGATATATTGATTATTTTGAATTATATGATAAATATATATACATCTATTATAACTGCATAATCTCAATCGTTTGAATGACTTCTACCTACGAGTTACACATGAATAAAATTAAATATAATATATGGTTTAATGTTATTTATAGTTGTTGTTATTGTTAATTAATTTTTAAAAATTTATTTGCTTAATGTTTTAATTTCTATCATTATAATTATTTAAAACATCAAACATTGTTTTTTGATTTTAAAGGAAGTAATATAATCATTTATATAGAATTACTTTTAACTATTGTTATTGTAAGTTATTTTAAGCTACTTATTTGAAAACTTTTGACGATTATAAAAATATCTTTAAGAAATATTTTAGTTAAACTGAGATTACAATTTACATTTTGCATTTACCACTACAATTTATCACTTTTAATTATTTACAAAATATTCTTTGGTTTTTTAAGTGGAACTAAAATTTATATTTAACTTGACATTGTAATGTTATATTTAAATTAACAATTTAAGTATTTTGTCCAAACTGTTCAAAAGTTGTTGCTTTAAACTGATAATGGTTTATATACAACAACATATTAAATCTAATAAATTAAGTATAATATGTTAAAAGTTAAAGACATAACTTTATAAGTAGAAGTAAAGATATTATTTTAAAATTGAAATTTAGTATATATTTATGATTACACTTTAGGTTTGATATATTTGTTTAACCTTATTAACCAACTTGTAATCATTATTAGAAAGACACTACAATTAATCAATTTTAACTATTTACAAAATATTATTTGGATTGTTTAAGTTAAACTAAAATTTATATTTAAGTTGACCCTGTAATGTTATATTCAAATTAATAATTTAAGTATTTTATACAAATTGTTCCAAACTTGTATCTTTAAAATGATAATGGTTTACATCCAACAATATATTAAAACTAATAAATTAAGTATAATATGTTAAAAGTTAAAAAACATAACTTTATAAGTATAAGTAAATATATTATTTTAATATTGAAATTTAGTTTATATATGATTACACTTTAGTTTTGATATTTATTTAACCTTATTAACCAACTTATAATGATTATTGGAAAGAAATTGAAAAGTCATGGAAGTTTCAAATGAATGTGGTGAAAGAAAAAATGCATGAGAGTTTCAAATGAATGTGGTGAAAGGAAAAATGCTTCATTTATAATATAGTACTAGACGAATCCCCATGCGTTGCGCGATAATAGAATTATATAGTTAAAATAATAACTTTTACCAAATTATTGTTTAATATTTCTACTTTGAAACAAAATGTTAGTAGTAAAGCAAACATATAGTTAACATATTAGTTTTATTAAACATTATATTTTAATTTTTAAGTCATTGTGATATATACAATTATTTGATAATTTTATAAACCGTTTAAAATTGTGTAAATTATATATCAAATGAATGATAATATAACGGGTAACAAAACGTATGAACAAAAATATGAACTGCAACTTTTAGTAACATAAAAATAGAAAAACATATATTATAACATTTGTATTAAAAAAGATATATAGATACAACGAATAATAAAAAATATGAAAAATAAACACTACAACTTTTAATAACATAAAAACACTAAAACATCTATTATAACATTCATATTAACTCTTCATATTTAAATCGCAAATCTCTTCAAATACATTAATGTTTTTAATAAGCAAAACTTTACAACCTTATAAAAGAAAGGAAAAAAAATGTTATTAGTGATTACTAATTAATAATCATAAGTTAAAAACTCTTGAGTTGTAACTAATAAATATAAATAGATTAGAAAACTGTTAGTTGTAGTGTGAGTTTCAAATAAATGTGGTACTTGGAAATGTGTATTTATTATTATTATTATTATTATTATTATATTCGTCTAAATAATTGGTTTTGATGCATCATTTTAATCCCTTCAATTATTAAACATAAAGATATTTAATTATAAATTTATAACATACATAGGTGCATATACATGTTAAACAGATCACATATAATATATATATATATTTTCGAAAATGTCATATGTAATTCTTGTCGTAGTAATATAGATAAATTACGTTCATATGAAGAACATATCATGATAAGTCTATCATAATTACATATCAAATGTTAAAAATTATGTTATCTTTTGAATATTGTCTTGTAAATATGTTGTGAAGGATAACCCAACAAAATAATAATAGAAAATAAACATAATCAAAATAGAAAACTACAATCAAATAAATAAGAGCAGTGGATGGTTGAATATATAAATAAAAATGTTACATAAACATACATTTAAATCAAAATAAAAAACTAACATTCGTCAACTTTGCTCAAACAAAAAAATCTATATCCGTTTTCTGAATCTTCTTTCTTCATTTAACACCATTCAACCACAGAAACTTAATGACAATTTTTCACTAACTTGCAATCAAAATATTTTTCTTGAAAAAGAAGAATCGGAAAGATATTCCAAGCAAAACATTGATGTTTGGGGAGTCATATTCAAGATTGAGTAATACACACAAATCACATATAAATATTAAATAAGAAACTGAATATAAAGAAAGAATAGAAAAACTTCATTTGTTTTGGTTGGAAGAAAAAATCATATTACAATTATCATCGATGCGACATAACCCATTTCTTCAAATCATCATATTTGGATCGGGAATGCTTCAACTATATGAAAACTTTTAAATCGCAATATCTTCAAGCAAATGACGACTTTTTGTAAGAAAAATGTACTAATATAACTACATATATAATAAGAGAATGCAAAAAAATTATTGGAAATTTATAAATACTATAAATGGTTTTAATTAAGGAATATAAAAAGTTATGTAGGTTTTAAATCAATATTGTTTGAGAAAACAAAATATCTCTAAACATATGATTTTGAATGGTATTGTTTGAGAAAACAAAATATCTCTAAACATATGATTTTGAATGGTCTCATTTATATTACTGGAAAAAAATATAACATGATCAAATTATGAGTAAAAAATGATACACTCATCCACAACCTTGACTTGTAGAGCTCTTTTAGGGACTTCATCACTGCAAATACGTTCTAAAAAATTGTGTCTATTGAAAATTTTTCTTTTCATTTTCTTATGACATTCTTCTTACATGTAAGATTTATATATAACACAATAGATTGGCCTTTTTATGGTAAACTTTTCATTAAACGCTAATTAAACATAATATAAGTTATAAACTTTTGAATGTTAAATCATAATTAAGAAAACTTTTGAGTTGCATTAGTTAAAAAAGGGGGTTTCAAATGCATGAGATTCAAGAAAAATGCTAGCTTTATAAGTATGTATGATGTATGATATATATATATATATATATATTATATATATATATATATATATATATATATATATATATATATATATATATATATATATGTTCAAGTTTATTTGAGACCATGCTAATTTTGTGAGATCGTGACACCAAATCTAAAAATAATTTTAAAATACAAAATAAAAGGAAAAATCCAAAAAAAAATTAATTATTATTTTCGGAACTTTATTTACCTTAAAAAAATAAAAAAAATAAATAAATAAATACCTTTTTTTTAAAAAAACATGAAATATTCTAATAGAATATTACACTGTACATATTTTAATATGATTCTTAGAATGTTTAAAATATTCTACTAGATTTGCCAGATATGTAGAATATTCTAAATATTCTACTAAAATATGTAAAAAATGTATTTTTTTTATATTTATTATTATTATTATTTTTGGTATTTTTTGTTATTTTTTTTTGGAAAATATATATTCCGAAAATAATATTGGAAAAAAAAATTTTCGAAAATTTTCAATTATTTTATATTTTAAAAATGTTTTTGTTTTATCTAATAAATAAGTTGCTAGGATTGCATCTTACGGTCTCACAAAATTAGGCCGTCTCACATGAACATAACCTTTTTATATATATATATATATATATATATATATATATATATATATATATATATATATATATATATCTATATATATATATATATATATATATATATATATGAAGATTCTTTGTATTCAATTGTAATTATTATTATATTGGATTTTGGAGACATACGATTTCAAATATGAAGCAATTTTATATAAACACATTTTTTGAAGTTTGATTATGTTTATCGTCTTATCTAAATTCTTGGCTCCACTATCCAAGTCATGTATGCTTGGCATGCCAATTTTTTCATCTTCTATCACAAGAAATCATTAACTTCGCAGATCCGCAAAACAACATTTCACAGTAGAGTGATCTCGCTAAATTTTAAAGATATGCATTTATTTCATAAACATACTTTTTATCTAATCGAACACATACTTAGTTTAATAACACCTTGTGAGTTCACAAGTGAATTAAAACTTTGGATTCTTTATTATCAAACTTTTTTTAGAGGATAACACATTTTATATGTGTTCTTTGCATAAATGCCTTGATAGGGAGACCGATGTTATTCCACTAGAGGATTTAAAGGGGAGAGTGGAAAGAAGTTAATTGCGAAGCTTGAAGCAATTTTCGAGTGAACGACAAATAAACTACATAGCATGACGATTGAAATGGTTTCTTGTGAGATGGAAACATAGTACGAATGTAACGTCCCAAACTTCAAACTAAAATTTTCATTAAAAATTAAAAATATTTATTCAAATTACAACTTCAAAAATATTGATAAAACCATTTGATTCAAAAACATTTATTAGAATGTCATCAATAGTCATTATGTACAGAAATCTCCAACGGGTGCGATGCAAT